TTGGAAATGTTTATATTACTAAAATTCACAGTTTGGAATAGTCTTAACTTTATTCAGTTGCTTAATATTTTATTAGAGAATGCCCATATACTATCCTAATTAAATAAATTTCTTAATTCCAAAGACACATTCTTGTTTACTTGCTATTCCAATCCGAACAACCCATCCTATTTTCTAAAACTTTTCAAGCATTCTTCTTTCTCTCCCCCTATCTCCCGTTCACCCAAGATCTCACACTTCCAATTTGTATATACCTCTCACAAAACACTATTCCTTTGAAGAAAATGGTATTTTGTTTTGTTGGAAGTTTTCCATTATATCCACCATATATGCACTACATCCAGCAGAGCTTGTGGTCTGCTGCCTTTTGCGCCGCATCGGTTGCATTGGTGTTATCTACGCCGCTGGTCTCAGTTAACAATACAACTTTTCTTGTAAATAATTAAGGTTACGAGATAAGGAACATTCCTACAGTTAGCGTTCCGCAGGTTGGGAAACCTTGAGTGAGATAAGGTCAAACTATTTTTAATGAAACTCACACTTCCGTATTTGTCACCGCATCCTCCTTTTAAAAAATTCTTAAACATTGTAGTAAAGCAGGTTAGTTTATTTCTTGAAAATCTGTCTATTGTTTCTACCATCTGTTGGTATTAGTCCGTGGTGTAGAACCCTTTTCATCAAACATCAAATTATAAACATTCGGCTATAATTTCTTAAATAGCGTTATCTCATCGTAACCTACAAATATTTTATTTACGAAAATTCTCAGAATTGGGGCTTTTTCAATCTGGAGGTCGGCAAACTTTGTCAATTTAATTAGGTACTAAAAACTCGTAAATACCCATTTGCTTTCCACTTCAATCGTAAGATAACTTGAACACAAAGTCGAGAAATAGTTTGGCCTTAAAAAATATTGAGCCGTTTGACCTATATAATCTCGTTATTTTGACAATTTGGGAGTGTAGGTCACGCCAAACGGCTTAATATTTTTTTGAAGGCCACATTTTTTCTCGACGTTATCTTACGATTAAAGGGGAAACCAAACGGCTATTTATGAATTTCTAGTACCTAATTAAATAGTCAAAGTTTTATAATCTCCACATTGAACGCCGAATTCCAAGAATTTTCGGAAATAAAATATTTGTAGGCTACGATGAGATGAAGCTATTCACGAAGTTTCAGCCGAATATTAATAATTTGATAAAAAGGGGTGTGTACCACGGACTATATTACCTTAAATGTTTTAAGATCGCTGTTATGTCTCTATTTCTTAGTCAACATCTATTGAGACGTTGAATTAGTGACGAGTTGCGGTCGCCGGGTTGCTAAATTTTTCGTTTCGGCGTTCGTTAAACCCAGACAAGGCTATTATTCACTTACAATAATTGTGGTTCGTTAGTTCTGGTTCGACTATCTTTAAGTGGAGAATTGATTTTGTTGACAGTTTTTGATTTTATTTATCTATATTTTAATACTTTAATCGTTGTCATGAATATTGGTATTCCAAATAAAGAATAATGCATCGTAATTTTTGCCATTCAGAATTAAAGAATATTGCATTTGAAATTTTTTTTTTTTTTCCTATGCCATAGTCATTGGTCATTCGACCATCCGACATCTTGCTGCCCAATATAATATAGTATTTTTATATATAATATAGTATTATATAGTAATAAATATAGTATTTTTTATATTTGAAAATATAAAAAATACTATATTATGCTGTTAACGTTATTTCATAAGTTCCTAACTGTGGTATCATTATCTTTTATATCCTATCTCCCGCTTCTTTCTATTCCCAATTTTGCTAGCTTTATTTTATATTTCATTTGTCTATATATCATTTATTAGCCTTTCCACATATTTATTAATGTTAAATTTATTCTACCTACTTATTATTATAGTCCGTAACACAGACAGTTTTTTATCGAATTATTAACATCCGCCTGAAACTTCGTAAATAGTTTTATCTCATTGTAACCTACAATTATTTTATTTACGAAAACTCTTGGAATTGGGGCGTTTTCAATCTGGAGTGGGCAAACATTTTCTATTTAATTAGGTACTAAAAACTCGTTAATACACATTTGTTTTCTACTTGGATCCTAAGATAATTTGATCACAAAGTCGAGGAAAAAAAGTTACCTTCAAAAATATTGAGTCGCTTGGCGTGACCTACACAAACAAATTTTCAAAATAACGAGGTCATATAGGATAAACGGCCCAATATTTTTATATGTGTGGATCTGTATCACGGACTATTACTTTTACCGTCTGCTATTCAATCATATTTATGTCATCTTTTTTCATAACCCCTGATGAATTCCTGAAACATTGGCAAAAATAAACATTTTTTTTTCTTTATTATTTGTTTGACTGAACACCCTAATCGACTTCTCTGCCACAGTCAGTTATTAATCCACTGTCACTAAAAATAATAACTATAACTCTTTGCTAATATGTACTGCAGACTCCTGTAAATCTCTGTTTAGAACATTACGTCATTTGCTCCTTTCTTTTTTCCATCAAGCGTTTATGTAAAGAAATGATTCCTTTTCTTGAGTCCTTCTGTATAACTTGCTTAGTTTTTTGTGTCTCCTGTAAAATCACATGAAATAGAGATAAAAGGTTTTTCTCCTACTAGTGTTGATATATTAATAAGGTAATGTTGTGAATCTTTGGCGTAAATATTAAGAGGATTCATTGGCATTAGGTCAAACTGGCAGGGTGTCCGTGTCCTTGTGAAGTATAATTTCTTTATTTCTATCTAAACGTCTGTATTATTTAAATATGTTTAAAAATAAAATCCGTGTTTTTTTTTTTTTTAATAATGTTCTTGAAATCTACTTTTCATTCTCCTGAAATATAATTTTATTTATTTATTTTATTGTTATTTTTTTTATTTGATGATATTACATTTACACATATTGTATGTGTATGTTTTTTTTTATAACTGTTTGTGATTCATTCCGCACAATATCCAAAATTACAATTCAACCTTAAATAAATCTAGTAAATGAATTAATTTAAAGGTTTGAATAGATGGCACTTTCGCTAATCATTTGTCTGCCTTTATTTATTTTTTTGTGTTATGTTAAATCGATAATACTTTTTTGTAACATTTAAATAATAGCCTGTAATGTTAGAAAGGGAAAACATGAAGCATTGACTAATTGATATCGTATCGATTCACTTTTTTTACGTCGGTTTACTTAAGTGTGAAATTTTTAAACCGTGGCATTAAAAATTAATCAGTTACAAGATTGATTTTTTTTACATTCAATGTCACGCTGTCAACGTTCGTGCGGTTTCTATTTTATTAGTTAATGGAACCCAGTAACAAATAAAACTACCACCATCCCTTCTAATATGGATAAAAATTTAAAATAAGTAGCAATAAAAATATATTAAAAATTCTAAAAACAGTATAATAGTGACAGGTTGGCTGATAATTATTCAACATTCGAAAGAAACAAATTAGAGAATAAAAATAATAATAATAAAATAAAAGTAATTTCACTACCGAATTAATTGTTTCCCGTTCTTGCTACAGCCTAGGATGCAGTAATTGGCAAATAAGTGAAAAATGTTGACTTTCTGTTGAAAAAAAATGGACGTAACAATATATTTTTGGTTATTGTATTAACACTATCTTTAAGAAATTAGTTATTGAATCATCCGAAAAATGACGTAGTATACGCCTTAATTTACTTTCATTCTAAATGTCATTTATGAATATTGATCGATTATATTATTAATCATAAATAAATAATCAGTTTTCAGTCGCTCTGATAATGTTTATTGCCATTGTTTCAACACAATAAGATAAAAGTTATAATAGGTAATGAATATAAAATTAGTAAAGTATTATTGAACTTAGTAATACTACATGCTAGGCTACTAACAATGGATAACAATGATAAGAATAATAGCATCCAATATTGTTATTGTTCAACGTTGTTATTACAATTATATTCAGTACCTATTATTAGATTTTACATGGTACTTTTGAACCTTTGATTTTATTTTTTACATGTTTTGATTGAGCATCAGCTTGTAAAATTATCACCATGAATTATTAGTGATTATTTTAATATATATACTCATGAATGTTAGCAACTTATCAAAAAAACCTTTTCATGAAGGCGCGTCTGTTATATTATGACGCATAACTAAGTATCTTAGATTTAATTTATCTACTCCAAATAGATTCTAGTGAAACGTCTTATGACAAAGGGGAACAAATCCACATTGCATATGTTTTTGATCCGGAACCAGGGGGGAGGGCAAAGAGAGCACTTAACCCCGATCGGCATATTTGATCTTTAGGTTAAACAAAAAATATATATTTTATTTTTTATTCTTCCGGCTTTGATCCAGAGAGTAAAATGATTTAATATTAGGAGCTGTTAATATTTCTTTCTATATATATTTCCTAATATACTGGTGAAAAGTGTTGACTTTTATTGGGTTGTAGGAGTGAATGAAGGGACGTCAAAGATAAGGTCTCTAGCAAAATCCTTTTTATTTTTTTATTTTTTCAGCTTCGATTTTCCTTTGAAAATATCTGAGACGAAACAGATAATTTTTCTTGCGTTTTTGTTGATTGATTCTCTCATGCTGAATGCTTCCCAATCAGTGCGTGGATTGATGCCTATTTCAACTCTCATTATTTTATTTCATTCTCTTACTTTCCCAGTATAATGCTTGGTGGCCGTACATGTTGAGTCAATCCCGCCAAGTTCTGAACTTGGGTTCAATTTCCATCTGGATCAGTTAATATTTATTTCTTTACGGGCACGAGAAATAAATCTTGACACTTGCATTCTGGTGAATTCTTGGTGGTCTAAGTATTCCCCAACAATACTAGTATCATGTTATAGTTAATAATATATTTTTATGAATATTTTAGTTAAAGGTGTATCATATTTTATAGTTATGTTAATTTTATGTTTTTAACTTTAATGATTTAACTCATATGTTATGTTTTGATGTTGCAGCACATGGTGCAGGCGGGAATGACGGCGTCGCCGTACCAGCAGGCGGCGGCAGCGGCTGCGGCACAGTTCCAGCCGCAGAACGGAGAGGCGGCAGCGGCGGCGGCTGGAGTTGCTGTTGTGGCGAGCCCCCCCGCGGCCCTCAAGGACCCCCCTGCCCCTCAGGCCAAGGAGGCGGGACCTCAGGCCCCGGCCCCCTTCTCCCCCTCCCAGGGCCCTCCGCAAATCAACGGGCTCGAACAGCAGAGTGTCAACATTGTGAGTACTCATTTATCCTTTCATTATATTTATATTGTTATATTCTATTTTGATCATGTACGCACCTGTTATTTATATAATCTCTAAATCTTTTCTTATTTATACAAACCAAAAATCTTTTTTATTTAAAGCCAAATCATTGAGAAATTTATCTTACCCAAATATCACTAACATCAAAGTAATTCTTTGAGAGTAATATCTATTTTTCTCCACAAATAATATTTTATTCCATTGTATGAACCCAAATATGAAACATTACGTTATCTTGTTTCATTCCCGACAAAAAGAATGAAAGCAAAACACAGACAGATATCGGAACTGGGGAAGTATCGAGGAGAAGCTTGGTAATCAGTTTATTACCTCTAATATAACATAATGATTTAATATATATGATTTAATGAAAACTTTGTTAGTTATTTTTACTAAATTAACAATAATAATGCTTTATTTATTCTGGGACGACTCCCTTTAGAATAATATAGAAAGACAATAATGTGGGCTAAGGAGCCTTAGAGATACATAAACAAAAATATAGAATAATTAAATAGTCAAAATTAAAAATAATAATAAAGAAAATTATAAGTTACTTACTAATTTAGATCAGTTAATAATAAAAAATTGAAAATAAACATGAAATAAAAATAATAAAGAACGATCTAATTACTGTTATAAATTACTGAGAAATATTGGTGGAATTGGGTTCCCTCGTAAAATTATCGAAGAGGGGGGGAGAGCAGAAATTGTTGCCTCTAACTCTCCTTCCTCTTCTCCCCTTCTCTCCTATGCTTCTCGCTTATGCGCATGGAATTCACACTGGATTTAATTAACAATAACTTGGCTGAAGATTCATTCAACTGTGCTCTGCAGTGCTTTTCATGTTTAAATTGATTAAAAGCTTTAAACTTTAGAACTCTGTTGTGTACCATTTGGTCCTATGTTTTATAACTATGGAGGAGAGCAAAGTATTCTCGTAATCTTGTGACAGTTCATTGTTAGATTGCTCCGTTATCAAGTTAAATTTATTTCACTTGATTTGAATGGTTAAAAAATTATTTGATTTTTTATATTAATTTTCTTCTTTTTACTTTTAACGGAATATTGATAGGTTTTCAGTTTTTGTTTCCATATTTTAATTTAATTTTTCCTATCAACGACTAAAATTGGTAATATATTTTTTTTAAATAGTAATATTGAGAATCCTTGTATTAAAGCAACATTTTTTTTTTTTTTTTTTTTTTTTTTTTTTTTTTTTATCAAATCATAATAATTAATTATTACCTAATAATTTGTACGTTATAATGCAAACCTCTTAGTTATTTCTATAATTGATTAATACATTTTTTAAGGAAATACTAAAACAACTGAAATTAACCACTACCGAGTAAACCATCGAGCTTGTAATTGTTTTAAGTGAATAATCGTCTGTCTGGGTTTAACGAACTCCAACCAAAAATTAACTTTATTGCATCGACCGAAACTATTAATCCAAGAAAACTATTTTTACTCTCGGTCACAATCAATAGAAATACAGTAAAACATTTCTGAATAATTACGTTGTATATTTAATACATCTAAAAATAAATAAATATTTTTTTCCGTAAAATTTTGTTTCGTTTTTAACATTCGAATACAAGGTATAGATAACAGTGGATATTTTGCACGAATATTTGAATTACTTCGTACACATATTCTTGTTCTTTTTCTAACCCCTCCGGGTACCTTGTTGTAACATATCAAAATAATTATTGTTTTAGTCTTAAAAAGTAAATGTTTCATTCACGATAAATATTGTTTAGAGGATCTATTAACAAAGACTGGGTTGCGGATATGGTCGATATCTGCCGCTGGGGAACAGCTCAAATTCATAAATTTCCGCTTAGAAATTTTAAGGAGTACTTTATAAAAATACGAATTATAATATATTCAATGATTATGGGTAGTTATTTCTTTGTTAACAGATAAATAATTAGTTTGTGGAATTCTGAGAAAACTCCTGATGAAAAATGTATAAATGTTCCTTTAAACCTTTATACACTTATCCAATCAATATACACACAATACATATTTAAATTTGTTTTCTTGCATATTTGTATAAATATACAATACAACAAAACCTTATGTTTTATAGAGTTATCCCTACGGTACATACATAATACCACATGAATACAGTATTATAATATATAACTTCACAGGATTATCTGTATTGCCAGGATTTTTTTTACAGTACTTTGGAAGACGAATCCAAGTTTAACCATTTAAATATTTAATTATTTCTCAATAATATGAAAATACATCTTTTCCAAAAATTCGTCTAAGCTCTGGCAGTGTAGGACATTTAGTTAGAAATGTATATTTTCTATTTCATTACATAAGAAATTTAATTTACTATTATATACATGGTATAGTCTACAGTTTAATTTTATTATTTCTCTTCGAGAAATACATAAACATTTAATCCTAGTACGATCTAAAATATTGTATACAGTTGCTATATTTAAATTTAGTCAGTTATGAATTTATGTCAATTTTTTTTATCGGTTTTTTGAAAGGACCTGTTTCGTTTTTGGGATTATTGGTCAAAATTTAGTTTAATAATTTTGTCTGTTATTAAAATCTGTTATCTGGACAACTCTAAAATTGTAATTATGATACGCTTTTATATTTTTTAAATATAATAGTGTTAATAGGACCTTTGTGTTTATTAATATCTATAACTTTAGATCTATCATTATCATTTATTTTTTTATTGAATATTTATTATAGTAAAACACAGATAAAATAAAAAGAAAAAATAGCTTTGGCAAGTTCATTAAGAGGTTTTGTAAATTTTTAGGGAGTTGAAAATAAAAAAATCTTAAGTGAGACCTCAGGTTTAAGAAACCGGAGAAACTTTCATCTTACGGTCCGGTAGTAGCGAAAGTTGTTTTGATATTACCGCCGCTACGGTTTTGTGGGCTATCACTATCTAATAGATATCGGTCGCGATAACTTGATCTATCTTTCTTGATAGGTCCATATCCGCCGGAGATTGCCTTCTGGGTCGATTGTTGGTTCAACGCCATCCGTCACATAGCCAGGCCAGCAAGCAAGATATCTAGCCGATCATTCTATATCCCGTATCCCTTTTGGCTAGTTTTGAATTGTTTAAATTCTTAAATATTTTTCTTTATCTCTCAATGAATCGAACAAGGGGAGGTTCATAAGCCAACGGTTTCTATGAAACGTTTTTTGGTGATACTAGGTTTGAAAAGTATTTATTTATGCCCGAGGGTTCTTGCCAATGCACCATGGAAACTCAAAAAAATATATATCTTATTATATATTAATAGTTTTTTATATAATTGATTTCTGCCTTTGCTCTTGATACATATATATATTTTATTTATTTATTGTGTGTGTAAAATAAGAAAAAACATATTGCTGACTGTATTAAACGAAACCAAAAGCATAATGAATTAATAAATAAATAAAAAAAAATCGAATAAAGTAATCTAAGTCAATTATTGTCATGATAAAACGATTTATCATCCTCTTAAACTTTAATACGAATTCGTTTTGAAATTAAAAAAAAAAAAAGATGTTATAACTCCTCAGTATTTTATCTTAATTCAACGTTACTACAACCATTGGAAAGCTGAATTATTGCTTTTCAAAGCCAAATCAATGGGTTTCAGATTTTACATCTGTATGAGGACTAAATGAATAAAAATGCCTCAAAAGTTTTTTATCGTATAATTTATAGGACCTTAAATACCTGTTGCTTTTCGTTTGTATAAGTGGATTAACGTTGAAGTTATCACAATTTAACGGAGTATAGTTAATTATGTGTCTAACTCAAGTTTAACTTAAGTTCGAAAATATTAGCGTTTTTTTTTTCTTTTTTTTTTAGTTTTGTTTTGTTGCAGTTTCATGTTGATTTAAAAAACAAATCTCTATACGAAATGAAAATCTTTAATGTGAAAAATTTTCCCTATTTCCAATAATCTACAATAATTGTTATCATTTATTTACTTCAGTTTAGAATCTTGTTACTTAGTTATACTTCGTTGGCTCCGTTTATAATTTTAGTGAGTTTATTCATATGTTTAAATTTTTTTAATTTTAAACATTATGTAATTTCCACATTTGTCTATAGCCTTTTGTAACTTGTCCATTCAAGCTTTGAAGAAGACATGCAAAGTCGGGTCGAAACGTTGGCGTTAAATAAATTTTTTTCTCACTATTTTATTCTATTTATGACCGCCACCCCGGACCATCTCCTTACTCGTAAAACAAATCACTTTCAAATAATGCAATTTTTACTTATTTGGTTCTCTCCTTTCTCTCCATTTGAGGATAAATATAATGGTGTACACATTTCTTAAAATTTAATTAATTAGTTAAATGTTTTTAAATTACTTTAATTAAGTAATTAATTTAGTTAAATTATTCCATTGCTTTTAAATCTCTTGAAATCATAAATCATAAAAGTTAAATAATAAAAAGCTTAGCGAAGCCAAAGACAAATATATATTTATGTTGCGACATCAAACTCCTAAGAGTTCGCTAAACTTTTTATAATGTTAATAAATCAGAAAAGGCTTAGAAATATATTTATGAGGATTATTAACTCCATAAAAAATAAATAAAATTAAAACTAATTATAATTGAATCTAACAGTTCTTTAAGAAATGCCATCGTAAGGGAGGGGGGCCATGATTTTCCATTTAGGATTGGGGTTGCGAATTGAATTCCCCCCCCCCCACCTATCTAATTCTTGCATTCCTCAACGGTAATATAAACTTTCCGTTGATATTTGTCACCATCGGTTTTCTTAACTAGCTTAAGAGCTACGGCAACTTTCCTAGTTATCCACTCAAACTCACAACTCTACCTCCGCCTTCGTTATTAACAACTTTATCATTTTCCCATCCCGTGTTATCTAAAACTCGTTAATAACATTCACAACTCATGATATGCCTTTAATAGACTCCATCTAGAGAACTCTCGGTAAATTGCTC